GTGTGCGAGTGTGTGTATGTGTGTATGTGTGAAGCTATAAATTCTTAAAGCCCGCCTCCAGTGACACACTTCCTCCAGCACAGCTCCTCCTCCTAGAGGGTCCATAACTTCCCAAACAGTGGCACCTACTGAGTGTCAAGTGTTCCGATCTAGGCGCCTATGGAGGACACTGCACATTCTATCCACCACACTGATCCCTTCTAAAATTATTTCCCCAAGTCCATTTTTTGCTTGTTTGCTTTTTCAGGACAGCATTTCTCCATGTAGTGCTGTCTGTCCTGGAACTCACTCTACGGACCAGGCTGGCCCCAGACTCACAGAGATCCATGGTCTCTGCCTCCAGAGCACTATGACTAAAAGGTGTGTGCCACCTCTGCCTGGCTTTTCCCCCCAAGTCTAAATGAAGATCAGGCTTCATCTAAGTAGACTTCTCTGAGGAAAGACTCCTCAGGCTGCTAGCAACTGAGCTGTTTCCCCTGCTTCTGGTACCGTCCGCCGAGCTCCAGCCTCATCTAGCCTAAATCCATTGAGTATCCCAACTGACTGAATGTTGCCTAGATGTTCGCTCTCCTAAGAGGGAATGTGTTTGTAAATGTTAACTTGCTAAAACATAAGCGGGCCTTTCCCTTGCATTGGGAATGTCACATCCTTTCTTCATTGAAAGGCCTCGCTTCCCCATCCTACACGCCATTTTCCATTTCTGGACTTAACTGCCATCGTCCCAGGCTCATCTTAGGAGCATCTACTGAGTCCTTGCTTTCCAGCTTCAGGTTAACCATGTCCTAGGGAGGCTTTCTTCACCTGTCGTTCTCTCTTACGGTCCTCACCCTCGGTTCCATGACATGACCGACCGCCAGTGTCCTTTGTTCACTGGATGTCGAGCACATCTTCCAGTCCATAAAAGCAAACACTGTGCACTTTCTGAATAAATGAAACCTGAGATTCTAGGCTTGTCCAATTTGTCGGTATTATTCAAATTTAAGTCACCACGGAAAAGTCCACCACACTTCCTTTGATCTAGTGAGCCGGTGGAAATGTGACTGACTAGAACGTTCTGAGATACGGATGAGATCTGAATTCAAACTGAGTTTAGCTCTACACTGTTTAGCTGTCCCGCTTCATGAAGAACGTGAAGAAAGTGTCTGCTGTGGAAAACATACACGTCGGTACAGACTCTTTGAGAGTGCTGGAGAGATGGAACACATTCACACATCAAGACCGCAAGAGACCACGTTCAAGATTCTTACGGCTAGAGAGAACTGAATGGTCGGAGGTTCTCAAGGAAGAAGGAGAATTGAAGGGACCTGGAAGGAATGAGGGTTACAAAGAAGGAAGGGCATCCAGCGTGGTCCAGGGTCAGCAACTGAACAAGGAAGAAAAGAAAAGAGAGCCGAAGTCGTTTCCGCCCTCATCTAGAGCAGAGCACTGGGAGGCACCCACATGTCTTATTCTGGGGTTTAACACTGCCACAGCTGAATAGTCGTGTTTTCTTATACCAATTAAAAAAATCAAGCATATAATCATTTTCTTAGCCAAAAAGGGAAAACGAACAGCCCCTGGGTAAAAGTGTAGGAAGGGAATGAGCTCCACCCAGCAGGGTCAAGACAGTCTGAAGATGGTCCCTAGAGAAGGGGCATCTGGAAGAACAGGCACCAGGGGATGTGGATTCATAAAACAGATGGCCTGGACCAACCAGGACAGAGCAGGGGCGGGGCCCTTTCCAGGGCAGCTGCAGCCTTCAAAAGACAGAACAATTTGATGAACAGTTTGCAGTTGGGAAAGGAACTGCGTTATGCTCAAGAAAACACAGCTGTCTCATTTCTGGTTCATGAACACCGTGGGAATGCAAAAGAAATGCGTTTGTCTCTGCATTCCAGTCGGCGTGCAGCGGTTCTGTGTGAGCACACCTTTTAAAGGGGCTGTTATTCTCACTGCGGTTCCTTGGTTTCACTGCATCTTTCCTCGGGGGCATGTTTGTCTCCACGACACTGCTTTGAGAGCATAGCTGTCAGCAGTCTCCGGCTCCATTTTAAGCTTGGGTAGGAGCGCATGTAATATTAGTAGGAACCGAGAAAAAAAAAAAAAAACACATGAAATGTCTGCTGCAGTATACCGGCCATCATTGGAATTCTGTTTTAAATTGACCTGTACTTTACCTACAAAACCCCTTTTTGAAGCAGTTCACCTAAAAGAGTAACAAAAGGAAGGCATCCGAGCTCACAGACAAGGGTCAGGAGAGGCTGAAGTAGAAGAAGGTGGGTAGAGATAATACACAGACAGATGGATCGATAGAGACACAGATACGAGGATAGGGTTGCACAGAGATGGACAGCTAGAAGTAATGGAAAGAGATGGAAAACAGGTTGACCGGGATAGGAAGAAGTATAGATGGATGGGCATTGACACATAGCACTGTAGACAATGGACGCATGGGGATCAGGCTTAAGATGAGCCAGATATGCGATGGGTGTATAGACAAGACTAGCCATTCTGCCATCATTCTGCCATGTACATGCTTTCTTAGCTAAGTATCTATAACCAAATTATAATACACAGGAACAAACATTGGTTTATTTGACACAGAAGAGGAGACATGGGCTTGTGTAGGAATTGCTTTGAAGCTGGAATTATTCCACATGCTAAAGCGAAAGACTCTTTCTAAATGAGGCAGAGCGCTAGAATATGAGGGAGTAATTATTCAAAACCTACATCACTGTGACCCATGACGACCCCTGGCATGGGAAAGGATCTGCAGTGGTTGAGTTACACAAAGAAATTTTCCTGAGATGTTAATACTCAATATCTAGACTTTTCGTTCTCTCCGGGGTCTTGATTCGACTTTTTCATTTTAATAACAACTTTCATGGAGCTCAGAGAGCGCCCCCAGATAGAAATGGTGAGGTGAATTGGACACATATAAAAGCTGATATTCCTGTCTGGCCCCTGGCTGGCCTTGGCTGAAGGAGCTCACACAGGGGAGCAGGCTCTACCAAACACAAGGAGCTGTTAATCGAAGGCACTGGGTAAGGCAGCTGGTTGTGCCGGCTAGTGATGTGACTGTGATCCCAGTGCTTAGGAAGCTGAGGGAGGAACGTCGCTGCAAGTTCAAGGCCAACCTCAGCTACGTAATGAAACTGTATCTCAAACACATACATACATACAATCACCTAAACACTTTTACAAAGAAAATGCTCAGTGAGTGAATATTCCAGAAAAGCCTAACGCCACTGGACAAGAATCATTTCCCTCTATGGTAATAAAGGACCCAATGTAGCAAGTTCAAATCAAACTTCTCACAGTCTCTCAGAGTGACTCAGGTACAGAGAGCATGTGCTGCTACAGCCCATCACAAGACATGAGGTGCCCAACACAGAATCACAGCCTCAGCAAGCTAGAGATTAACCATTCAGCCCAGGGAGCTCGAGGGTTCCCTGACGCATGTGTCAACAGCAGCAGGAAAAGTCCTCATGGAGGTGGATGGAAGGGAAGGCAGCAAATGACCGTGGTGACTGGGCCCAGGGCTGCTGGGGGAGGCCTAACAACACCCTCTGGCACATTTGTTTTGCACACTTTGACACAGCAGAAGTAATCCAGGTCAGGGCTCTCCATTGCCTATGAGTCCTTTAGGTCAACACAAACAAACATAAGGTTCCCTGGACCGGAGCCAGTGTAATGGAGATGAGCTCTCTCCTGACAGCTATTGGTCTTGAGTTCAACCAAAGTTGAAAGAGCAGAAGAAAAGCCAATGAATGGACCACATCCCTTTTGGAACTGCCAGAGCCAGGGCATCCGAGGACAGCAGATAACTGACGAGGATTCTGATCCTCCCACAGAGGGTCCCCAGGGCTTGCCATGGTGACAACCTCACTGATTTTGGAGACCTCTCCCAGCTTCTGGTAACACATTACTAAACTTCTGGGGCTTCAGCGGGGAACCCTGAACACATGCCATGGCCAGGGTTTATGACGGTGAAATCTGTTGTGCTTGAAACTCCACAGCTGCGGACAGATGTGTCGGTGTAGCCATCTAAGGTAAATGGCTGAGAGAGTGGTCCCTCATGGGGAAACACCAGAATGAAAGAGAGTACAACGTGACCCAGAACTGGGAACTGACCCGGAGCTGTCACTTGTCAGGAACAAGAGTAACAGAAAGCAACTCTCATTGGATGAACTTCTGCCATACCACGGTCTACTTCATCTCTACCATCAAAACACTGAAGAAAATACCACAGAACACATAATTTTAAGGGTAACTACAAATGTAATTCCGAGTATATATCCCATCCTTGTAATGTTTATGTCATTCTTGTTCACAAAACAAAAGGAACAGAGCAAGACACAGAGTCAGAGACGTTGGTCTGAGGTGAGGCGAACTTTCTCTTAGAAATGGGTGTATTAATAAGACTGGAACAATGGCTGTTTTCACTGGAAAGGAGATAACACCCCTGAACAAGAACCTCAGCTGACAGCCCCTGGGGGAAGGAGAATTAGCAACATCCCCACCCACCCCGGGATGAGCACACTTACTCGTCGTCCAATGAAGAGGGGTCAGCCTTGAAACCACATACACACCAACATCAAAAACAGACTCAGCAGGTTGCATGTATATATTTGAGCATTCAGATAGGAGCGTTTATGTATGGCACAATGGTTATCAAAGAAAACGAGGCTATCAGAATGGTGGGGAATGTGGGAGGGGGTGAAAAAGAGTCCCCGGGAGAAGCTGGAGGGAGGGAAGAGAGGGGAGGGATATAATATGATTTCAATTAAACAGACAGTTTCGAAAAAAGAAAATTAAAGCCAACCGTCATACTCCTAAAAAAATAGATAAAGGATGTAAAAGAATGTGAGCGAACTCAGTTGTGGGGCACACAGGCAAGGTTACACCAGGCTTCTCAGGGTTTGTTGATAGCACCAGATAAGCTCAAATGTTCCTTTCTGACCCCACAAAGCACAACCATGCAGGCTATGTTAGGCTGAAGACACAAACGTGCCACTTACTGATTCCTTGAAAGAGCTCCTCGATGTTAATGGCATTCTTCGCGCTTGTTTCAACCACGATGGCGCCTATGGATTCAGCATACTCCTTAGCGTCCTTCAGGGGCACCTCCCTGGAAAAGCGGTCAGACCCATCAAAGAGTGAATTTGTGTCTGTAAAATATAAATACTCAAGAGACCAAACAAGCAGCACTCACGGGAACGATACCTTTGCTTTCCTATAGGGTACCAATGTGATCACTCATCAAGGGTTGAAGACCCACGATGGGTGGCCCTTAGACACCGGTCTCTACCAGGCATGGTGGGCCATGCTTTAATCCCAGTAGGTGGGTGCCTTTGAGTTTAAGGCCAGACTGGTCTACATGGTGAGATTCAAGACAGCCAAGGGGCACAGAGAGAGACCCTGTCTCAAAAAGAAGGAAGAGGAGGAGGGACTGTTCTCCGGCAACCATGGAGGGTTGCCATGCACTCACGTGGAGGTGAGAACAACTTTTGGGAGTTTCCCTTCTGCAGTGTAAGCCATTATTTGTAGTGTGCTGGAGGCCAGAGAGTCCTGCCAGAATAAACAAAGGACCAAGCACTCCTGAGTCTGCCAGAATGTGTTTTACTGTGCTCAATAAAAAGTACATGGGCTGACAAGATGAGAACCTGGGGAAAGGTGATTGTCACCAAGCCCGAGTTCACTCCCCAGGACCTACACTGTGGAAGGGGAGAATTAATCCCTCTACACACATTATGTATGTGCGCGTACACACGCTCGCATGCACACACGCACGCGCACGCACACGCACACACACACACACACACACACGCACGCACAAATAAACTTCTGTGTACATTTGCAGTCACTGCACGGAGCTCACAACACAGAGCTCCCCCAGTTGGCAAGTGATACAGTGATAAGATTGCCTCTTACTAGGCTCTCCCGCTGACCTCACAGAGTGTGATAGTGTTGGACCCTTAGGGAGCTGCAGAATTGGGCTGGTTACCCAAGAAACCAAGTATGACGTTAGAGACAGATCTCCAGCCCCTCACACAACTCGGGCTGTGGATTCAAGCAGTCACTCAATAAGGAGGTCCACACAAACAACAACAAAGCCTCTTGGACAGGAGGCCTGGAGAACCTCGTGCTGGGGAGCGCACAGCCACTGCAGAGCGGTCCACTCAAAGAGCACCGAAGTTCCTCCCTGACGGTCAGACCACGACCTGTGCAACTCTTCCATTTGGCTGCTCTGAGTCTGCAACCTTCACAATTCTACATAAGTGCTTTCCCGTGTTCTTTCTAGCAAGCACCAGGAGGGAGGTCGTGAGAGCCCTGTAATTTGCAGTCTGCCGGGCAAAACTGTGGGTAATTCGGGGCTACTAGAGATCCACGGCTGGAGTCTAAACGAGGGCATAATGTGGTTCTGAGCCTCTCCGTGGGTGGACTTCTCACCCACTCTGGTCTCTGTCAGAACGGAAGAGAATTGCGAGGTACCAGCTGCTGTCAGAATGGCAAGGTGAGAACATACCTATTCATGTACAGTGGCGCACACATGGGGACTCCCCGGCTCTGTTTCAGGGATAACCATGCACGGGTTGAAAGGCTGTTGCCATTAGCCTTCTGCAAAAATGAGCCCAGTTTGGGCTCATTTGTTTAGTGTGTGTGTGTGTGTGTGTGTGTGTGTGTGTGTGTGTGTGTGTGTGTGTCTTTTGCCTGCATGCATGTCTGTGCACCTCACACATGTCTAATGCCCAAAGCACCAGAAGAGGCTATGGATCCCTGGAACTGAAATTATAGATGGCTGTGTGTGAGCTGCCATGTGAGTCCTGGGATAGGAACCTGGGTCCTTTAGAGGAGCAGCCAGTGCTCTTAACCACTGACCACTGAGCCATCCAGCCCTGACGTCCAGTGTTTTGGTCACGCCAGAAAATATTGGATGTCTGCTATATGTTGGGCATTGTGACAGGCATTGAAACAGTTAAATTGAAACTACCTAGACCTGGTCAAGATGGACACATGAGGCAGTCAGCTTTGATGGCAAAACTACCTTTAGGATTTCTAGTCCATGCTACACACAGAATCACCAAGAAGTTACAGCTGGAAAGTATTGCCAGGACACCCTCCTTCATCCAGGTTAACCATAGTCTGCCCATCCCAGAACCCCCCCTTCATCCAGGTTAACCATAGTCTGCCCATCCCAGAAACCCCCCCCCCTTCATCCAGGTTAACCATAGTCTGCCCATCCCAGAAACCCCCCCTTCATCCAGGTTAACCATAGTCTGCCCATCCCAAAAACCCCCCCTTCATCCAGGTTAACCATAGTCTGCCCATCCCAGAACCCCCCCCTTCATCCAGGTTAACTATAGTCTGCCCATCCCAGAACCCCAGAACCCCCCCCCTTCATCCAGGTTAACCATAGTCTGCCCATCCCTTCAATGTCAGCATTCCGGGGGTGGGGTGGGGGGGCGCCGCGCTTCTGGTGAGACGAAGTTCACATCTTTCTAAACAAGGCAGCCCAGCCCTCGCGGCTGGCTGGAGGAGGAGAGACAGGGCTGTGGAGGCGGTGGGTGCCGTGCGGCACAGAACGGTGACCTCTGACAGTCCATTGCCCTCTTCATTGGTAACTGCCTAGCTATCAGACCTGAATCCCAGGACGGGCTCCCTTGTTACCTGTCATCAGAGTACACCAGGAGCTTGTCCTCATCCACTGCCAAGCACAGTGAGCCCCTGAGCTGGAGAGGACTCGGGGCTACCCTCCACTCAGCTCTCACTTCCTCCCCATGGCGGGATCCAGCCCATTTCAGTCGCCAAACGTCCCAGCTTGAGTCTTTCTTGTCCCTGAGAGACCAGACCTGGAGAAGAGGGTACACTCTCTCACAGTAGCTGCTATCGGAGTGTCTTCTCACTGGAGTGCTTTAGATAGGAGCCTGAAATGCTAGTGACTCCTATTTTCCCCTGTTAAGTTTTTGAGACAGGCTGCGGACGTGTAGCCCAGGCTAGCCCGGAAGTGATTGTGTCTGCCAGATGAGTCTGGCTTTTAATTAGCATCACTCTTTCTGCATGATGCCTTAATGGGACATTATCTGTGTGTGTCGTCATGCCTGGGGAGAGGATTTAAGAACAAAACAAAGCCAGAAAGTTTGAATTTGAGTGGAAGGGTCCAAGTCTCAGCTAAGGCAGTCCCAGTCTCAAACAAACAACAAAAGACCCAAAACAAATAAACAAAAATGCCCAGGAAACAACATCATCAGAGATGATATTTTAAAGGAAAATGAAATAGCTTTGCATTTTATGAAATTCTCGGGTGACTTTGGCTACAGTGGGGCAAAGGCCAGACAGAACCATGGTTTTGTTGCAGCACAGACAACCCTTGCTGTGGCTGATACCCCAGAGGTGGTCTGTAAATAACTCGTAACGCTACATGGCAAATGCCCTCAGCTGCCATCCACAGAAAGAGGAGGAATTCAGGAGGGGCCGAGTGGACCTAACAGGCTGTGTGAGTGCTGAGGCTAAGTGGGCCGGGAAGAGGCTTCTGGGGTGAAGGTAACACCAAAGGAAGGCTCCTAGTAGGCCCAGCTTATCAGCCTGGGTCTTATCAAGCTCTGGACGGCAGCCAGTTTTGTGTCCCCTGGACTCAGGCAGAAAGCCCTGAGTTGATCCCTTGTACTGGAAGACTTCTCAGCGGGGGAGATCAGGAACACGGAGTTCCTACCACTCTAGAATTTCAACATGCCCTTGCGTGCGGCCCAGTGGGGGGGAGGGTCTTTGTTTTGTTGTGCAAGGGTGTTGCCGGGTAACATAGCAGCTGACTCACTGTAATTTCAGGACTGTTCAAGTAGCCATGGGCCTCTGCTCCTAACACCAGGGACCCCAGAAGCCCCACCTGTGAGGAGGGGCCAGGTCAGTGGGTCTCAGGAGCATAATGTACCACCCTCCTGAGGGGTCTGTGGGAGATTCAGTTCCCAGGACCCTTCCCCCACTCAGGCCTCTCTACCTCCATGAAGGGCAGCCCAGAACTGCTTGCTTGCTGGCAGCCTAGCTCAAGTAGCCATGAGAGCAGGTGAACAGGCCCAGGCATCCGTCCATCAAGCATTGCTCAGGGAGCAAGGGGAACCGCCCACCTCTTCCCTACCTCTTCAGTCCGGCGCCCATTCATCCACCAGACTTTACAGTGTCGGATGTAGTACCCCCCCCCCAATCCACAAAATGCTCCAACAGTTAGATCTGTGTCTCAGCAGCAATGATAACACAGTGCCAAATTCTACAATATTTCCAGAGGATAGAATTCAAACTCCGGGAAGGCTCCTAGTCCTGACCACTATTCCACAGACAAGTAGGGGGCACACCAGGGTGTTAGCCATCCACTAAGAACATTCATTTCGGTAAATGGCAGCGACAATAAAACGGTCACATTTTGTGTGGCTTCCTTGAATTTAGGAAACCTTACATTAATTCTGAGCAAGTTTTTATCCATGGGATTCAGTGACTTCTATGCCAGAGGCCCAAATAGAACGTTCTGTCTGCCTGTTGTTTCTAGATGAGTTTTGGGGACCACCCTCCAAAGTGGCTCTTACGTGGGTAACTGGCCTGATACTTTAGTGCGTTCACAGGTTAACTTCAAGCAGACCCGACATCAAGGGGAAAAAACTAGACATTATTTTCATTTCTTTTGTGCCCTGCAATGGTGTTGTGAAGTTTTATCTGTTGAGGCTTGCTTGCTTCTTGCGTGAATTCATTCCTAAGATTTAAATTTTCAAAACTTGAAAGATTACAACATATAAACAAAAAGGCGATGCGAGGTGTTTTAACCGGGTGTCGCCATCACAATGAAGAGTACCGTTCCTACTCTTGTTCTCCCAGTGGTTATTATTTGTGTGCAGGCACAAGAATAGCTTGCCTATTCTAATAGTTATGGAGAAATAACCTTGGTTTCCCTAATCCTTCTAATAGTAAAACAAAACAAAGCAAAACAAAACAAAAAAGCCTGAGAATGGACAGCACAATATTTGTCCATCCCACGGATGGCCGTGATGAAGAGTTCGCTAACAGACAGTGTCAGAGTGTGGGCAGGCAGGAGAGCCTTGGCGTGAGAAAGGGTCCACAGAGATGGAGCGAACCAGCTGTGTCTTC